CAACTTTGTTTCATATACAAATATCACCGCTGTGACATCACATCACATAATGAGTTTTCAGAAAAGTATGGTTTTCTTGACGAATACGCATCTAAAAAACTTAAAAAGTGCTTTGAATATGTACTAATTTGATAACTGGTAATTAACGCTCTGTATTTGTTTGTAAAAATATTTTATCACGGTAAAATATTGCGTTTTCAAAATGTCATTATGCGATGTGATGTCACACCGGTGATATTTGCATATGAAACAAAGTTGAATATTTTGCAAAGGAAGCAAAATTCTATAAAAGAAAATATTAAGTCATTTTAAGTGATCTTTACAAAGCAATCATAAACATATGGGGTGAAATTTCGTGCCATAGGCATGCACTTTAAAGCCTGCCGCACACGAGAGCTATCTGCTGAGCAAAAAGTTACTCGTGCCTGTTAGCTCAGCTGATAGCTCACCGATCAAACATGTTTGATACGTGAGAAAAGGTTGCATGAGGGAAAAAACTCAGTAAAATGTACGCGCACACGGTGAGCTATCGGCTGAGCTAACAGGCACGAGTAACTTTTTGCTCAGCAGATAGCTCTCGTGTGCGGCAGGCTTAAGGAAGCTTCCCACACAGTCGCATGCGGCCGCATGTTTGCGAGATGAGCACGTCACTTATGGCCCGCAATCATCACGATGAAAAGCAAAACAAAAATTGCCCAGGTTTTCTCTTTCATCACAAGTCCAATTTACCGTATTATGAGTCAATTATTACGAATGTAAATATCTCAAAGAGTTTAAAACCGAAAGCACCGTCCCATTTTTCCAATCATTTCAACGGGGGTGGGGGGAGGGGGGTGGTATACTGACGTCAAAACATTGCTCAAAGTAAAACAATTGTGCAGTTACTCATCCTTGGCCAAACATTTTGAATTTTATTTGGAGAAAAAACTTGAATATCTTCTAACTTTTTCGTTATTGTAGCTGTCAAGGCCAAATTAGTAAAATGCTCCTTGTATTCACATTCTAATATTCCACAATATTCTTTTTGATAAGCTTGACCATTACGGAATTCGTGGATTAGCTTTGGACTGGATGAAGAGTTATTTCTTAAATAGAACACAATTTGTTCAATTTAATGATTACTGTTCCTGTCCTAATAAAATACAATGTGGGGTCCCACAAGGTTCTATCCTTGGTCCGCTGCTCTTTTTAATATATATCAATGATATAATCCATGTGTCAAGTATATTGGAGCTTATCTTATTTGCGGAAGATACAAACTTATTTATTTCGAATAAAGACCCAATAGAATTAACTAATATTTTGAATATTGAAATTAGAAAATTGTCAGACTGGTTTAAATCAAATAAGCTTTCATTAAACTTAGAAAAACAAAATTTATTGTATTTAAACCAAGACAAAAGAAATATAATTATACTTTTCAAATAATCATTAATAATGAATATATTGAGCAAGTGAAAGAAACTGTCTTTTTAGGGGTAGTATTGGATGAGGAATTATCTTGGAAATCACACATTTCGTATGTAGCACGTAAAATGTCTAAATCCATAGGAATAATGTTAAGAGCCAGTTTTTATCTACTTAAGAAATCCTTACTCACTTTGTACTATTCAATTGTTTACCCGTATATCCAATATTGTAATATTGTTTGGGCTTCAACGTATCAAAATAATCTTCATCGTATCAATATACTGCAAAAGCGAGCAATTAGAATTCTAAATAAATGTAAATTTGATGCACATACAGAACCTTTATTTAAGAACTGTTCTATCCTTAAAGTTAATGATATTCTTCTATTTCAACTGGGTAAATTTATGTACTCTTATCGCAGTGGTCTTTTACCAAATAAATTTAATGACATGTTTCTATCAAATTATCAAGTCCACTCATATAATACAAGGAGTGCGATGGCCATTAGAACTCCATTGTGTCGTACATATATCCGACAATTTTCTGTAAGATTTCAGGGTCCAAAATTTTTTAACTCACTACCTATTGATATTATTAATATTACTTCTTTTGTTTCTTTTAAAAGAAAATTAAAAAAATATTTATTATATAATAAATAATTACCTTACACATTAAAACGATTTTTTTTATTTCTTATACAAATATCTATAACGAAATGAACGAATATTCTTTGTTACTGTGCGCTAATAGAATCAAGTGTGTACCTATTTATAATTGGTGTGAATTTATATTTAATTATTATCCATTAATACCTACTGTACACTCATATTATCCATAATTTATCAAATCTTGAAATGTTATTTGATATTTATATATACTGTACCCTCGATAAATGAGGAAGCTTAAATTTACATAAGCCTTATGGTTTCTTTTTTAAGCTTCCTCGCCACCATTATCATTAATTATTGTAAATAATTTCTTTTTTTTCCTTACAAAATGTAATGGTGGAAAATTAAATTATTATTATTATTTACATTATTTTGTGTAGAAAGTTTCGTCTGAATACGGCGAGTAGAAATATGTATTTACAGAATATCGGGCTTTACTCACACACGTGTGCCACTCGCTACACTACGCCAATATGGAGTTCCGGTAGCAGAATTATGTACACGATCACGCATATAGGTGCACTTTGACGTTTATAATCAAGTTATAGCCCCTCGTGTTAAAATTGCCGGATTACACCACTACATGCACTGAAGAAGAAGTGTTAAAATATTGAAAAGAGTGTTAGATATTACACGAAAGTGTGTTAAATATTGAATCGTTGATATATTTCTGGTACATGATCGGGCATTGCATTTATTTACCTAAACCAGAGTAGTATAAGGAAACCCGTTTGGCCAGAGGCACACTCCGGGGGGAGGGAATGGTTCTGTCTGCCCCCTCTCACCTTAATTCACAACTAAATGTTTAATTGTTTTGAAACTCACGAGATACTGGGCATGGGCTAAGCTCCTACCTAATGTAGGTATTTCAGACTTTTGTAATACCTGTAAAAAAATTAGCAATTAGCGTTTTACAGTCCCTAAAATTAGAAAGGTGTAAATTAGGTTGCGTAACAAACGTTACTTATATTTTATACTCCAAATTATATCTTAAGTGTCGAGTTTTTTACTGTTTCAGAGATTTGGGGAATAACAGAATTAAAGAAATTCAGCCTGGGGCATTTGCTGATCTGAAAAGTTTAGAAAAGTTGTAAGTATCCATCCATGTAACACACAAATTAAATTACAGAAGTCCTATACCATATTAGCCCACAATTCAAAGAATAACATCACAGTACCTGTTGAATAAACAAAACCCAAAATTTAATTTGCATTGTAAACTTTCTTTAACATATTGATCTGTCAAAGCCTTTTTCGCCGGAGGCCTTTTAAATATAGAACTATTTAAAATATGTTTTTAATTAAAAATATTTAGTCGATGGTATATTGTGTTCGTTCTTATAACTCTTTAACTTTCTTTTTTAGGGACTTATCAAACAATCAACTAAAAAATATTCCTGAGAATCTGTTTCATGGTCTCGTGTCTTTGCGTTACCTGTAAGTGCTAGATTTCTCTGTTGCAACAAACAGGTTGTGTATGCCAAGAAAAAGTACTAAAAGAACATCAGTAAATATTGGGCTGTTTGTCAATGATTTAATATATTACACGACCGTGATTGGTTAATTTCGGTGCAGTAATACTATCAAACAGCGCAACAGTGCAAAATTCTAGAAAAACAGTGCAAAAATCTATAGCAACAGTGCAAACACCTGTAACAATAGTGCAAAAATATGTAAGAAACAAACGTGGTGGGTGGGAAAAACAATGAGGTCTGAAATCAACCAAACAGCTAGCCTTAAAGCAGTCCTCGAATATAACGGTCAGAGATTTCTTCAAAACAAAACAAACACGGCGGTTGCCGTACTAGAGTAAAATTATTGTTCGGGTAGAAAATATGACTCCATCTTTTTTAAAATGAAAAAAAAATTCCCTTAATTAAGCAATTAAGTCTAACAAAAATTACATGGTTGAGTGAAATTTCCAAACAGTTAGTGTTGTATAATATTATAAAATAAAGCGAGAAAACTTTGTTAGTGGACGATTCCCCATATCAATGTAAGTTAAAACTACAATTGTCTCGAAAGTTTTGAATGTATATTGTTAATACTACATGTTAATATTACATGCGCACGTGCGTTGCTAGTACTAATTGCAGTAAAAATTCGAATCCCATGAATTTTGGACCATGCAAGCTTGAAGCTCTGACGGTAGCCTCAGATATAATATATAAAAGAAACAAAGCCGCTACCAAACATTCAGAAACGGAGAACTGTGTGAATGCTGATGCTAAGAAACCATGAACAGTACTTGGAATTTCTTCTGAAACGATTCTCAAGCAATATTCATTCCTCCAAAAAAGAAACATTGATATGGTGCTAAATACTCTTGTTTCTGCATGACATGAATTATTAATGAGTGTAAAAAGATAAAAAAAAGAATTTAAAAAGAATGGTAAGGTTGGAGAAAAGTGTACAATGGAACCATTTGTCCCATAATTTGTTTAACGTCAGCAGAAAAATATTTAAAAGAAGAGAAAAATATTAAATTAAAAATGAAGCCAAATGTTCTATAGATAATTAACGAACACAATTGAAAGGGGTCCAAGCTAAAAAAGATTACCCATTCATTGAACGTAATGTGATAAATTTTTTACCCTTACCCTTCCAACCGGCAGAAAGTTAACAGTGTTAAACTTGTATACGTTTAGGTTCAGTACTATCAAACTGTCGATAACTCCGAAAATACTTTCGTTTATTATTTAATTTGTGTACAGCTAGTGTGATTTTGTGATTTCTTGCAATTTGATTGGCTGCGGCAAGCGGACGGCTTTTTACGGTATTTAGGCCGCGCGAGCAGGAAAGTTATTCGTTTAGCGGCAAGACAATTTTTAAACTCAAAACACGTATTACCCAAAAAATCGAAAAATTCAAGTATCGATATACTAAGGATAGCAAAATACAGCGAATTTACTTCGACTGATTTTGTACTAAGCCCGAAATGTGACCAAAATGCGAAAAAACAAATGCAAACATCGAAAAAACACCCCACATGTATTTAGCAATTGTTCGAAAATATAGGTATAAATATAAATACTACAGCTTGTGCTTAAATATAATATTTTAAATATTTACCTTAAATGACATATTAAGGACGATTCCTAGTTCTGTCAAAATTGTTTTTATAAATGTTGTAATGGACAAATTGTAGTTCGGCAACTAATATTTGTAATTGTCTGTCAAAAAGCATTTTTCAAGCATGTCCATGTAAAACAATCCGGAAAATAAATAATTTTACTTAATTTAACTTCTGTTGTCTTGTTATGTAAAAAGCATCAACTAAAAGCTTTTTATCCAGCTTTTATCGCGTCGTTTTAGCAGTTTGTCAGCCATCCTTCAATTAAAGTAACAAACGCAACTGACCTCAAATGGACTTCGCAACTGGAATTTTATCGGAAATTCATTATAACCAAGAAACATCACATGAAAAAATAAACACGTTATTTACTATTTAGGTCGGTCCGCACTAAAAAAAACATTTTTCCTCGGCCTCGGGCCGCTTCTGAGATCTTGGGGAAATATTTTTTTCAGTACGGCCCTCCCACTCGATAAATAACTTAAGTTATTAATATGTTCCCTTTGGGACCAAGAAAATAAACGATTTCTCCATCCGTGTTAGAGTCATTGACTATAACAATGAGTCTACTATTACATATTCATTGGAAACTTCATATTTTATGTTTTCTCAGGAAAGTGGATCATTTCACTCTGTGCTGTTACGCAGAGAAAAGCAATCCAGGTGTTACGTGTATTTCCAACGAATCCGATGGTATCTCAAGTTGTGATGAACTTTTAAAAAACACAGTCTTAAAGTATTGCATCTGGATCCTAGGCATTATGGCTTTCGCTGGAAACCTGATAGTCATCATATGGCGAGCTATTGCAAAAGATGTGAACCGAGTGAATTCATTTCTTTTAACGAATCTTGCGGTTGCTGATTTATTAATGGGAGTGTACATGTTGATTATTGCTTATAAAAATACCGAATGGGACGGAGTGTACTTTAAACATGATTTCTCATGGCGTGATAGTTATCTGTGTAAATTTGCTGGAGTTATTTCAATTGTATCGAGCGAAGTGTCAGTATTAACCTTAACAGTCATCACGCTTGATCGTTTAATCTGCATTGTCTTTCTGTTTCGATTCACACGTTGGTCGGTTAAGAAAGCTTCAGCGATAATGTTTGCGGTTTGGATACTGGGATTCTGTATCTCTACAACACCACTGTTCTACGATGCTTATTTTTACAATTACGAGCTGGATGTCCATTTCTTTGGTCGCTCTGCTGTTTGTCTACCTTTTCATCTATCAAACGACCGCCCATCAGGCTGGGAATACTCCGTGTCTCTCTTTATTGTTCTGAATGGTGTTTCATTCCTATTCATACTTCTGGCGTATGCGTCCATTTATCATACAACTGTCAAGTCAGCTAAAAATGTAAGAGTCATACTTCTATTGCGGGTGTCTGAGTTTATACTTAGTGGTCTCAGTAATGTTTACGGGTCAACTCATAATCGTGAATTCCAAAAATATTGACCCTTTTAGAAGCGAGAAATGTCAACTAATTGTAAATCCCTGATTTCAGAAGTTTATTTATTTTTTATCATTAATTAGAAATAACTGTGGAGTAATACCCATTTGTAAATATAATTCAAAACGGCAATTTTAATTTGGCTTTGCCAGGGGTAACCAGTCTCTAAAAAACCTGACCATTGAACACTTCGGCAGTCCTTAACGTGAACAAGGAGTACAGATCTACAGAACCCTTATAGACACACCTTACCCTGCTATTTAATTGTGGGACGTATATCAAGTCATTCGGCTTGAAGTTGGCAAGCGCTCATAAGAATGCGCGGAATTGTTCATTGTTGTATGATTGGTTCGTTTTGACAGACAAAGTTTAAGTTACGTGAACAATATTCTGAGCATGCGCATTTGTTAAAACATTACCCGGATAAAAATAATACTCTGTGCATGCGCATTGCCTTCAATTTCGGCAAGTTTTATAAGAGAATGATAAAACAATTATTGGACTTAAACTACCAGGTGATCTGGGCGAAAAATTTTAGCCAATCAGCGCACAGCAGGGGCCCCCCAAATAGAAATCCATACCGTGCTGCCGCGCGCGCTTGCAAACTCGAAGAATCTGTAAACATGGCGGAAAAATATAGCTAAATTATAGCTAAAACGATACGTTTAAAGAAAATTTACAACTCGTAGGCATTTTGTACTCACGTTTTACTCTTCGTGTTGGTGTTGGACCGCCGATTGACAATTTTTGAGAAGTCTAATCTTCAAAATCTCGCGAAATCTATGTTCGATGCCGCCGAAGACTTCAACAATTTGCTGTATTCTGTCTCGGGGGTCTAAAGACGCATTCTTTCTGGCATGATCTCGAAGATTTAAAATAGCTAGCTGGGCAGCCCGTACTAGGGTAGGATCACGTACAAGTGGTAGACGATCGTGTGGAGTTTCCCCTTCGGTAGGATTAAAATTGGAGTAGTCGTTGCAAAGTCTAGTGCGTAGGGCAGAACATAGTGATGGTATTCTTTGTAACTTTGACTCCAAATTCTCGGGGAGCTTCTGGAGATGGAATACAATGACTAACCTTGATGATCTGCTTGAGTTGGTAGGGGTTATTTCTTTCCAGACCTGAGAACCGTCCAATCTTTGCTCAACACAAGGTGAACCAAACACATCAGCTGTTAGCATCCCATCAGAAGTCAGCTCCATGCCCATTATTTTATTGAATGGCACATCAATCCTGTATTTGGATTTGCTATCATTGGCCGTGGGGTGGTGTTGGACAGACATTTTCTCATTTCTACAGTTCATGTAAAATTTTGCATCTAGTTTTTCCTTTGAGACACGACGGTCGATTCTTTTCCACGAAGTGGATTCTGAACCAATGTATAATGTTACTGACTCCAGATGATAATTTAACACTCCAGCCCGACCTTCCAGTGATTGCAAGTATTCAGCAGCAGTTTCTTTATTAACAAAAATTGCTGGAACTGGATGGTTCTGCCCGTATGTCCATAGATCATTGGCAAGAGCTTCACATTCGTCAGATGAACCTTCTGGAACTTTGGCACTTGCAAGACATTCTATTTCATCAGGACTTATGTGTAATGCTGTTACATTTGGATCACATGTATTTTCGTCTAGGATTTCATCCATACAGGTGGTGAAAAGCTATATAAATGACAGTTGGTGTGAATATGACAAGTTTAAATGCTTTCTAATGTTCATAAACTACTGGAATTGTTACAAAAAAGACCTTTCCAATGGTGCATCTTACCTCTGAATGTGCTTCTACTGATTGAGATGATTCGAATTCAGGGTTAACTTCATCCAGCTCACAACTTCCTTCATTGGTATCAAAAGGTAACTATACAAATGAATAAAGTTAATTGTGAAAATTAAATTGGTAGATTTGTCTAGTATTCCATAGATGGCACAGAGTAATTACTAGGCTAGAGAAAGACATTGATTATGCATGTATTAGGCATGAAAGGGCATGAATGATTGCCATAAATAAATAAATGGTTTGGAGTTTGACAGAGTAGATGAATATAGTAGGGCCTAGTAGGTTACATTGTGACTTAGACCATATGCCATCTTGGTCCCACACTTGCACCTGAATTCTACACCCCATTGTTTGGCTCCAGATAAATGTTTATTAATATTATATAACTAAACAGTATATTTTGTCTTTATTTTTCCTTAGACTTAACTTGTGACGCTGATGACCCTACCAACTGTGGATAGTGGAAATGGTTATGTTGTATTGCTGAATATTTTAGAACTTTTGTTGTAGCTGGAATTAAGAGTATAGGAAAATTATTATATTCTCTAGGTATAATCATAGCAGACAATTTTGATGGTAAAGTAAAATGCAGTGTTGGGCCCTTTTTGTTATAGTTCTGGGCTAATTAGCAAGTGTTAATAGCTTGGGAAGTATTTAACCCATTAAGCTGCAGAGCTTCCCGTTGACGAGTAAAATCGTCTGGCGTTAGACAAGTAAAAAAAAATAAGTAAGGCGCACAGGGGCGCATGGTGGCTCAATGGGTTAAATACCATTGGGTAAATAGACCTTTGAAGTGCTTACATCACAAAATTTTTGCATAATAGATAAATTTCCCAACATTTGGGACAATATAGATGTCAGCACTTCATAAGTCTATTAGCAATTTTTTACCACAACTCTTCTTCTTTTAACTTCTTGAGGCTCTGCTTCGGAATGGGCTAGTTTTGATCGCTTCTTTTTAATCTGATTGCCTTTGTCCCAGATGTTATAGATCTCGTTTTGGAAAAGTTGAGTGAGAACACATGTCTGGTACTCAATAACATCAGCTGGGCCATCCCGTCCACCACTGAATAAAAAGTTGCCTTCTTTGGGGCGCTTGTGTGCTGTCTCCATTGTGGCATCAGATATGTGCTCTAAGGTCACAGGAAGCCCGATTTTTCTACCATCCTCCAAAGCCTTTTCAATGTAAAACGGTGTGTAAACAACAGCCTGTTTGATTGATGGGGTTATTGCCTTCACACCAAAGATTACCACTGATTGAAAACCAAGGAGCACTCGTGCCAAAATTTCATAGTCTCCCCCACTTAAAGTGGTTGGTGGTTGCAGTAGGTTTTGGAATACTTCTGTTAACCCAGAACAAAAAGTGACAAGGGTTTGAAGGCTAAAATTTTGAAATCCACTTGTAGCCAGAACACCAGATACTTTGTGACCAAATGATAATACACCAATCTCATCAAACTTCACAGTTAAATGCCCATTTTCTACTTTCACAAATCGAGCTACATTCTTCAAACAATCTGTCCACTTTTCCTGTGATCCAGTTATACCTTGAGATACATAATCCATATGTAATGGGACATATTTAGCTGATAAGGCTGGTACACCCTGATCAGCTAAATATGTCCCACCCCATATTACATATTAACTAATTATTTTGTACTCATGCAAATCTAAACAAGTACAAGAATTAAACTTGGTTTATTAAGGGCCAATAATATGTAACTGGCCAATTGCAATTGGATGTGAAGTTCATCTCATAAAGTCAAACAATACCTCGGCAATGCTGTGACTTTACTTATGCTATGGACTGCCTTTTATTTATTCCTAAAAGCTGAATTTCAGAGTCGTTATACCCAGGGGCGAAACAGGCCCCTTTTAATTTGGGGAGTGTCTGCCATTTTTATTTTTGGCCACTATTTTTCCTAAAAATGTTGGCGAGGGGGGGGGGGAGGTTTCAAAAAGTTTTTTCTGACAAAAAAAGGGTCGAAAATTTTTTTCCGGAAATAAACCAGTCAAATTAAAAATTTTTCCGTACAAATTCCTGCTAAAACATGGGTGAAACCCATATTTTTGGACCAATATCTGTAAGATTTAGGTCTATAACTTCTATTCAATTCCCTCAGAAAGCCCTATAAATTACTTAATAACTCTACATTCTATCATTTAAAATCTTTGATTGCCCTGCCTATCCAGATGATTCACGCTGCCAAACCAGATAATTCATATTTTGGGGGTGTTACACCCCCCATACCCCCCCCCCCTCAAGTTTCGCCCCTGGTTATACCATAAATAGTTCTCTCAGTTTTTGACATTTGTAAACAGGAAGTAGAATGGTTTTGTGCACATGGGGGTGTGTTGAAGGTGTGTGATAGCTATTTCTTGGAAGCAGCATAGAAATACATGGAATTGAAACAAATGTAGCTGAAGCGTTAGTTTTTGTAACTGCTGAGTTATTTCAATAAATGAATGAAATTAATAAAAAGTTATCTCTTGAACATCATTTGTATGTAGGGTATTTGAGGATATAATAATTGGATGTATTTCTAATGCATTTCACCCAAGGATATGTGGATTTCAAAGTGATTTGGTTGAATTCCAAACTAAATTTACAAGCATGGTATCCAATAGGTATGTATGCTACAGGACAACTAAAACTTATGACAGTTAATGCATTCTATTTCCCTGTAACAATGTATACTCAGATGCTCTCCCCTATATTTCCTACTATCCATAGTCCCTAGTGACCTAATCCTTACTAGGGTATAAACACTGGACTAGTAAAGAACACCAGGTTAAGTACAATATCTTACATGTAGATACGTTCAAGCTTAGGCAACATAATTGTAGTAGAAAAACAAAACCCATAACATGTCTGTAGATTATATTGTATTCCAATTGCAATGAGGTTTTGCTCCCTTTTTCAAGATGGTGTTGCAGACTGTTGCCTAACCTTGAACTCATCTATTACTCACCAATTGCACACATGCCAATTTGAACCGACAAGGTTTCCAAAGATCTTATAGCAAGATGCATTGTGCCAGGATAATAATTCTCCATGTCGCAGATGGTTAGGTTTTCTCGCCCTTGGTTGCCTAGGTTGTTTCTTGCAAATTCTGATCTTGTGATGGGAGTTTTTGTTTGTTGCCATTTCTGCTCCATGTCCCTTGAGTCTTTGTGTGACCAAACTGGACTAGTGGAGATGACCAACATGTTACCCAACAGGCTGATATGCTCTGGAGCATCTGGAATTGGAAAGGTGGATCTGGAGGAACTGTTACCTGTGTCAACTCGACGCTGCTTGCCATCTGCACAGCTTCTGTAAAATACTTGAATAGGACTTTCACAACTGGGAAGATGGATTTTGTTTAACTCACCATACTCTTGGTACAATGCTCCAAAGCATTTCCTAATTGTATCATAATCATCCGGGCCAAGATAAACACCAGTAGTAATAACAAATCTGTTTAGGTTGCGGCACTCAACAACTTTGAGACGCGAGGTGGTGATCCCAGTGAAATACCTTGACCACTTTAGCCATGGTGCCAAATCAGTAAACTGGTAGACTAGTATTTTGTTTTGAGGTGCAATTGCCGATATTTGGACAGCTGGTCTTGACAGTAGATACTCCAAGTATTTAGAAACATCAACTTTCGCAACTACAACGGCATCATGGACTTCAAACTGCAAACCTATCAATTCTGTTAGTTCCTTCTTCTTTTTCCTAAGGTTTTCCACAACCAGATCCTTTGGTGGTATTACATTTACCCCAAGAACTGATGAAAGGTATTTTCCCCAAGTGTTTCACAGAACATCTTGCAGTTGTTTTTGACCAAGGCAGAATGAGCCAACAATCCCTGATGCAAATTCAACAAAGTTCTCCTTGTATTTGTCCAGCACAAGTGGCATTAATACTTCCCTAAAAACCTTTCCATTCTGAGCTTCAAGTAAGGCCTTGCACAATAAATTCTTGTTGTCTACCACAAAGTTTAGCATATTCCTAGGAGTGGGAATTTCTGACGTGTTAAGAGTAACGCTTTCTGCAACTAGTAGTTTCATTTCAGGGTAGGTATTGTTCAATGACTCTCTTAGGGCAACAAAATCTCGAACAAGTCTCGTCGTGTCCACAGAACCCGACCTACTTGACGAAGCCTTTGCCAACATGAACTCCCAAGGACTTGTTTGTTCAACAACAGGCTGAAGAAAGTGCTCTTTAATTTCCTTCTCACTCAAACAACCAATAAAAGCTTTAACTCTTGCTGAACGGGTAACTTCACTGATATTTTCCTGTAGCAATACATCACCAACAAGCTCCTTTGCACTGAGTTTCTTCTTGTTTTCTATGTTTTCCGGCTTACATTCTTTATTTACTCGATAATGCCGCAACAAATTATTATACGAATTATATTCTTTATTACACTCTGAATTTTCACAGCGAAAACTGCTTGAAGAGGACTTCATCTTACAAGGTTTTCGCTACTTTTCGCACACAAAAAACTCGGGGTTTGTTGAGTGAGAAAAAGCCCGCCAAAACTCAGAACCTTCGATCTCGCCACGTTATAAATATACGTGAAGTAAAACATACAAGCCCGTATTTTAGATTCAAAAAACAATTTTAGACAAGGCAGACACATACAAATTAACTTCATGTAAAACTTTATTGAAATAACTTAAATTTACTGAAATCAACATCATATAAACTAAAAATTTATCGCAATTTAACTCGCCTGCATGAGCATGTTCATGTCCACTGTATTAAGTTCGAGCAAAACCATTGCCCTAAAATCATAGTTTTTTTAATCAAGTTCGTTCTGTTTTCATCCAGGCTAACCATGATCGCAGATACTCCTTGCTTTTTGTTTCTGAGGATCATTCTCCAAAAAAATCGCGCAAGATCGACCAAAATATCTCTCATTTATGTCTTCTTCAGCTGCGTTTTTGTCTCGCGGAGAAAATATTTTTCTTTACAGTACGCTCGCGTGGCATGCTGGTATGGATTTCTATTTGCAGTGGAAATCATGCTTTGCGCGCTTGGGGCGAGATCACCTGGTAGTAAGAGATGAATTGTTATATGATTATATAGTAAGAGATGAATATATAATTATAGTAAGAGTTGAATATATAATTATAGTAAGAGTTGAATATATGATTATAGTAAGAGATGAATTGTTATATGATTATATAGTAAGAGATGAAT